CTGGGTAGTCTCTGATTTTAAACCGTAGTTCATAGTTGTGTTGAAATAGATGAAAGGGGTAAAGGTCTGTGAAATGAGGGTTTAGGTGATGTGTGTATAAGGATATAAGTTAGGGTATAATTGGAACATCAAGTGTGTTGAATGAGAAGAATAATCAAATCCAAATGGGTAAATTACAATTACACCCCCTGAGGTTTGGGTTTAACACATAAGTTTGGGAAATTACACTGACTTCCTGTCATTATAATTATTTAGATGAAATTAACGTGGGTATCAAAAAGAGATTGAATTCATACACTCTCTCTTTTCTTACTTTGGTTTGCTTTTTCTGTTTTTTTTTTTTTTCTTTCTTTGCTTTGCTCTTTTTTTTTCAATGTAATTTCCTTTGTTTTCCATAAGGAATTGTTGCCTTTTATATAAGAAGAGGGTTTGTGAAATGAAACTATTAACCACAGAGGTGGAAATATAATTTCTATAACATCAAGGGGTGGGATCTAATCGGACCAACTCTTAGGGGGTGTTACTGTAATTTACCCAAACCAAATTAATAAGCGTGTACACTGAGAAATGATGCGCACTAAGATAAATAAATGTGTAAACATAGAATTTCGCCAAAAAACTAATTCATGGAATTAATTACAGACAAAACACAAGCAAATTCTAACTTTTGTGTCTTGTTTGTGATTAAAACTCCAAAAAAGAAAAGAAAAAAGATTACACGTGGAGAGAGAACGCCTTTCTCTGGAACAAACAACCCAAGAAGAAGTGAAGAACTGCTTTCCTAGATACAATTCTACCGCTTAAAAATTGCATATTTGTGATACAATTCCATCTCATAGATCAAGAAGTACATTGCAAGAAACCCTAAACCTCCAAGCAAAGGCACTAGTTATCATTCTATCTCAAAGAATCCCAAAATAATGAGACAAAAACTTGCATGTTTTTCAAATAGTAGAAATCATACTTGTGCATCCCACGTGTAACAAGTATACCTCAAAGGATCCCAAACTCTCACTACACTATGCACCTTAACATCAAGAGATTATCAAGTATTACGGGACTACGATGTGGTTGTGTAACAAATATCTTTTTGAGCTAGGTAAGTACATAACTCTTTTTTTATTGGATTGGTATGTATAGTGCCACGTTAAAATTCTTAGAAGTTCAAATATTTACTTCTTAACATCCCTTTCTTGTTTGACAATGATGAATTAGAATTTCAATTTTAAAAAAAGGAAAATAATTTAGAAACATAATTTTTGCTCAAAAAATCTCATCCAGAATGATGTGATAAAAGAAAATCTTAAAATTATGAGCCATAATGGTGGTATTTTGATTTGAAATGAAACTTACAAACAGTTCTCTATAAATTTTTTATACAAATATTTCATTTGTATATCAATTGTTAGAAATTGGGCGCCCATGTGGCATGACCCTTTGAATCTTTTGAACCTGAACCTTTTGAACCTTATCCATGTAAGTTTGAATTTGAATTTAAAACTTATTTGGATAATCATTCAGGATATCTATATCTATTATATCAATAGATATGGATAGATGAATAGATAGATATTGGTTGTTATATCTGATTATATATTTTATATATAATATATTTAATAGATCAGATACAGATATCAGATATACATTATGTGGTTTTTACCCATAACCTTTTTTTCCAAACTCTCTCTCTGACTCTCTCTTATTAAAACAACGATCAAGCCTCTGCACTGTGACTTGTGTGGGTGATACTCATTTTGTAGTATCACTCCACTGCTGGGTTCGTTGTT